TCTGATCATACTAAAGCAAACTAATCAGGTTTTTAGGCAAAAAAATTTCAAAGATTTTCGACGATTTTTCCAAGGCCATAGCCTTACTTTTTTATCGAAAAATCACCCCCATAAAAAGTCGCTAATTTTTTGAAAAAACGCTTTTCTTTTCCAAACCAAGCTTGAATACGGTTTTATCTGATCATACTAAAGCAAACTAATCAGGTTTTTAGGCAAAAAAATTTCAAAGATTTTCGACGATTTTTCCAAGGCTATAGCCTTACTATTTTATCGAAAAATCACCCTCATAAAAAGTCGCTAATTTTTTGAAAAAACGCTTTTCTTTTCCAAACCAAGATTAAATACGGCTTTATCTGATCATACTAAAGCAAACTAATCAGTTTTTAGAGAAAAAAAATTTCAAAGATTTTCGACGATTTTTCCAAGGCTATAGCCTTACTTTTTTATAGAAAAATCACCCCCATAAAAAGTCGCTAATTTTTTGAAAAAACGCTTTTCTTTTCCAAACCAAGAATGAATACGGTCTTATCTGATCATACTAAAGCAAACTAATCAGTTTTTAGAGCAAAAAAATTTCAAAGATTTTCGACGATTTTTCCAAGGCCATAGCCTTACTTTTTTATCGAAAAATCACCCCTATAAAAAGTCGCTAATTTTTTGAAAAAACGCTTTTCTTTTCCAAACCAAGATTGAATACGGTTTTATCTGATCATACTAAAGCAAACTAATCAGGTTTTAGAGCAAATAAAGTTCAAAGATTTTCGACGATTTTTCCAAGGCTATAGCCTTACTTTTTTATCGAAAAAACACCCCTATAAAAAGTCGCTAATTTTTTGAAAAAACGCATTTCTTTTCCGAACCAAGATTGAATACGGTCTTATCTGATCATACTAAAGCAAACTAATCAGTTTTTAGAGTAAAAAAATTTCAAAGATTTTCGACGATTTTTCCAAGGCTAAAGCCTTACTTTTTTATCAAAAAATCACCCTCATAAAAAGTCGCTAATTTTTTGAAAAAACGCTTTTCTTTTCCAAACCAAGATTAATTACGGTTTTATCTGATCATACTAAAGCAAACTAATCAGGTTTTTAGGCAAAAAAATTTCAAAGATTTTCGACGATTTTTCCAAGGCTATAGCCTTACTTTTTTATCGAAAAATCACCCCCATAAAAAGTCGCTAATTTTTTGAAAAAACGCTTTTCTTTTCCAAACCAAGCTTGAATACGGTTTTATCTGATCATACTAAAGCAAACTAATCAGGTTTTTAGGCAAAAAAATTTCAAAGATTTTCGACGATTTTTCCAAGGCCATAGCCTTACTTTTTTATCGAAAAATCAGCCCCATAAAAAGTCGCTAATTTTTTGAAAAAACGCTTTTCTTTTCCAAACCAAGCTTGAATACGGTTTTATCTGATCATACTAAAGCAAACTAATCAGGTTTTTAGGCAAAAAAATTTCAAGATTTTCGACGATTTTTCCAAGGCTATAGCCTTACTTTTTTATCGAAAAATCACCCTCATAAAAAGTCGCTAATTTTTTGAAAAAACGCTTTTCTTTTCCAAACCAAGAATGAATACGGTCTTATCTGATCATACTAAAGCAAACTAATCAGTTTTTAGAGCAAATAAAGTTCAAAGATTTTCGACGATTTTTCCAAGGCTATAGCCTTACTTTTTTATCGAAAAAACACCCCTATAAAAAGTCGCTAATTTTTTGAAAAAAACGCATTTCTTTTCTGAACCAAGATTGAATACGGTCTTATCTGATCATACTAAAGCAAACTAATCAGTTTTTAGAGCAAAAAAATTGCAAAGATTTTCGACGATTTTTCCAAGGCTATAGCCTTACTTTTTTGTAAAAAATTCACCCCTCTAAAAAGTCGCATTTCTTTTGAGAAAAGAACTTTCATTTCCAAACCAAGATTAAATACGGTTTCATATGATCATAATAAAGCAAACTAATCAGTTTTTAGAGGAAAAATAAGTTCTTTGGATGATGAGGCAAAAAACATAAAGAACCTGCCACACAAGGTTCTCCTGGAAAACGTCCTAGAATTAAATATTAAACATATGAGCCCAATGTGAATTATTAATGTTTTTCTGAAATGATTTTCAAATATCAAGGGTCCTTTGATAAACACAAAAGACAAACCTGATCTCTAGAGCTCTCTTAAGAGATTTTATATTTTGCATCCTACACAGAGCCCGCGCTATAGGGGGGCCGGGATGGCCATGTAAGTAGTTTTAAAGCTGCAGTAAAAGGGATAATTAGCCTTTGGCCATTACTTTTTCTAGCCTTGCCCCCCCCCCCCACTTTCAATTTCGTGGGAGGGGGCAAGGCTAGAAAAAGGGTTATCTGTTATCTATTCTCAGTGGGAAAACGACACGACATTCAAACAAACACTTTCTTGTTGGATTCATGCCTGACAGAACAGGAAACTCAATTTAACCCCCGTCATTGACTGGGACGAGGATCAGCCAATTAGTTTTGTGCATTTTTTGTTTTCTCAGAACCCAAACAAAGTTCACAGTTCATGATGTCGTAAGAAAATATTTAAGAATTTATTGATTTTGTACGGAAAATCTGAAAGAACACAATAAAATACCTCTTGGTGTGAAATCAGCTGAATGTTTTTTAAGATACGGTTATACACACTCTTCTTTTATAAGAACCAATAAACTTGAGTTCAGGCTGACTGTTCTCAATTGTTTTGAAAATCTGAGGCTGGACTGTTCTTTATCTATTGTTATATTATATTTGTAGGGTGTAAGAAATGCAATTGCTAGCTTTTTCGCTCCAGGGTGAGCGAGACAAGCTTTATTTTGTTCAAAACGCACACACACAGCTAAAAGCCCTCGTTCTTTGAGATAAAACGTTGTTTAAAATTACATTTTACAATATTTCAGCCTCAGCTTAATCTAAATTTGTTTTCAACCTTTGATAAATGTGGAGGCTCTGTTCATATAAAATTGTTCTTATAAGAAAGAAAAAACCGTTTCCATGTCAATGGTTGCAATCCAAAGAGCCAAAATATCTTACCTAAGTTATACCTAAGTTATAATAAATTTAGTACACTATTATGAAGGGTGCAGTTTGACAATCGGCCTTAATTTAGACTTAATTTCTCTTGCCTTTCTCATTGCAATGACATGGATATGTCGGAAAAACTGCTTTCTTGAACCCAGTGCCATATGTGGATGTGTGGCCAAAATAAGCTCAGCATAGCGGTGGTAAGAGGAAAGGGAAAACTCTAACAAGTCAAGCTTTGATTTGAGAAATTGGAATGGACCCTCCATACATTTTTTCGTCTACACTGTTAATTTTTTTTAAGGGAACTAATTTGAAGGAAAAATTTAACGCAAAGATGGGTCTTAATAAATGAAACTCTGTCGGTGCATGTTCAACGGGAGCATGCTCAAAGGAGCCCTCCCCCGGATATTGGCTAACAGACAGAACAGAAAGGAGACTTGATACTCTAATCAGGGGGTTGGGATATCGTAGCAAAATCTATTGAGTGACAATAGATTGGGGTGATGTTGTAACTACCAGGGGGTATTTATAGGCTGTAGCAGGGTTCTTCGCATGTTATATATGGATTTAATACCGTATCATACAGATGTGGCCAAATATGAAACTCTATTACAAACAAGATTAAGTACTCCCCTAAAAATTCAAGAAAAAAATCTGTGCTCGTTAGCCTGTGCTCCAGACCCCTATTTTGAAAGTAGATGGGTCTGGAACACAGGCTAAGAATACGTATGCAACATCGGTTATGTTCAGAGGTGGCACCAGAAATCTTTCGACAGGGGGGTTTGAGCTTCCGACAACGGGGCTAAAATGACCAAAATATGCAATTTTTGTACGTTACTTTGTCAAATTTACTCCGACAATAACCCAAATTTCCTCCGATAGGGGGGCTAGATGCTTCCGACGGAGGGGTTGTAGCCCCCCTAGCCCTCCCCTGGCGCCACCACTGGTTATATTTTATTTACATTAGCGTGATTAATAGAAATTAGTTGGTTTTAATTAGCTTGAGTATGCAGAGCTAGAAATTCTACAAATTTTAAATACACTCATTTTTTTATAAGAAACTGGCTACAAGAAACGAGTACTGGACAGTCAGAAAAAAACTAAGAAACTTCAGTGCTCGAAGCAAAAAAATAAAGAAACTATTAAATCGTAGTAAAACTAAGTACAACGAAATTTCGTAAAATCCAAGAACATTATTGCCCTGTTGGCCTAGAATTAAAAACACGAGGGATAAAAATATACTTCCCACATCCAAATACAGCATCAGAACGGAAGCGAATCTCTTGACGTGAAAAAAAGGTCATGAACATTTCATAACATCATTCATGACTTTTGTTCCCATAACCTGAAAGAGCATCATGAAATACCTCTAAATCTGCAAAATGAGTTAAAGGTATTACGAATTGGCTGAGATATGTCCAGATGAGCACAAGCTCTTGCCCCATCAAACCTCTGTAATTTGGTCTCAGTTAAAAACTTTATGAGCTGAGCCAAAATAACAGTTATCCCTTAGAAACTTCAAATCTTCTTTTGGCTAAAGCTGACCCAATTTTTGACAAATCTAACTGATTTTGCAGATATGGGAGTATTCTATGTTGTTCTTTTATGTTATGTGGTCAAAATTGGAAAATTCTAAAAATATTTTTCTGTGACGTCACACTAAAGAACTCTATTGTAAAGCATCTTCTATCTCTTTCTTTGCGGCTTCTCATCATCATCATCATCATCATCATCATCATCATCATCATCATCATCATCATCATCATCATCATCATCATCATCATCATCATCATCATCATCATCATCATCATCATCATCATCATAATCATCAATTAAATTAGCTACAGTATAATTTAATACTTAAATAAGCTCTTTACCTCTAAATGACAGGTTAGAGCTTTTTATGGGGGAAAAAGAAAATTAATTAATTAATCAACAGCAGCAACAAGTAACAGTACGAACATGTTTAAGCGACAACTATTAAATTTTATGTAAATTCAGCCAAAACAAACAAGGAAAGAGAAGCAACAACTACAACAAAGAACTTAGTCTGCTTTACATTAGGTGACATGCATTTGTTTTTGGTACTAAAAATTTCTAACAGTCTTACCCCCGGGATGGAACATTTGAGTGACAGTTACTTCCTCTTTTCAAGTTAGACGCCCTGCATTGAGCAGATGTATTGCAGTTTGTTCGAGCAAGTGGCGAGACAGTGCTTCATACAGACAGTTTTCTAAACGCGAAGAAAATGGCCTATGTAACTAGAGGACAGGGGATTGGAGCAATTGTGCTCGGCATCCTGAAACTGCTTATCGGTTTGGTTATCGTAATCATTGGGTTCGTTTTGAAGTCAAAGATCGACAATGCTATCGTCGCATGTTTTTGGGCCGGCTTTGTGGTAAAGTAGACTTTCCTGTGTTCTTTCTAAATTCTACTTTCATCAACATATGTGATAATGTATTGTATGGTAAAAACTAACAAATGATTTGTGCATAAGTGCCAAACTTATTCTATAAGCTGTAACGAACGACAAGTCGCCGGCCGGTATAGTCTTGTGTTTCCTTGAATTGACTCAAATTTCAGAGAAACCATCTTCGCAACCAACAACTGCGACATCTCAAAATTAGTATCCACGAGGAAAATAGATTCTATAGCGTCCCAGAAAACTCACTTTTTGCATATTCCAGTGGTTCTTCAGAGCAATATTTCTTGAGGTTCGAAGGCCTTTTGATAATCATGACAGAAATTTTGCGGACATGAACGCGTCGTGCGGGAACTTGCTTTCTTCGGCTGGCGTAAAGGCGTTGAGACTGAGTCGGTTTTGATGAGTTATGGCTTGAGGTTATCATTCTTTTAGGCGAATAGTGGATCTAGTTTAGCAAACGGATAGGCGAACGAACGAACGAACGAACGAGCGAACGAACGAACGAACGAACGAACGAACGAACGAACGAACCGACGAACCGACGAACGAAAGAATGAACGAAGTAACGAATTGACAAACGAACGAACGAATTAATTAGCCAAGGAAAGAACGAACGAACGAACGAATCGACGAACGAACGAACGAAGTAACGAATTGACAAACGAACAAACGAACGAATGAATTAATTAGCAAACGAAAGAACGAACGAATGAATCAACAAACGAAAGAAAACAAACGAACGAATGAATGAACGAACGAACAAATGAACAACCAACCGACCGACCGACCGACCGACCGACCGACCGACCGACCGACCGACCGACCGACCGACCGACCGACCGACCGACCAACCAACCAACCAACCAACCAACCAACCAACCAACCAACCAACCAACCAACCAAAAGAAGAAACAAATGTACGAACCAAAAAGGAGCAAATGGACGAACAAATGAACAAATTAGCGAACAAGGAAATAAAAATTTTTTGCCACGCCCTTTTTTAACCAGAATACGCCCTTTTACGCCAACATGGAACACAAATTTTACCTAAAAGGAAAGCACACATAACTTTTGGTTACGTAAAGGAAAATCATAGCATTACATCACAAATAGTATATTGCCAATATGTTACCCCTCCCCCAACATTTCTCATCGAAAGAGGAAATGATAAATTGATCCTGCCGAAACCTGGGGGGCCTCTCACAGGGGGGATCCCCCTGTGGCACCCCTACTGGTACTAGCCCATTTGTTTGCTAGTTGGTTCATTTTTTGGTATATATATCTGTGCCTTTGTTTGATAATTCGTCCATCATCGTTCCTTTGAACGTTCGCTTGTGTGTTTGTTTGTTTGTTGGCTCGCTGTGAGTTTGTTTGTATGTTTGCAACAGTTCATTTATTGGTTCATTCCTTTGTTTGTTTGTTGGTTTGGGTAAGTCTGCACTTATGCGACCCAGTTTTTGTTACCTGATCGGATGCTGAATTGAATTGCTACTACCTAGCAACAGCAACAGGGAGTGTGAAGATATGAAGAAACAGACGGCATTTGTTCATAACTGGATATGGAATAAAATTGATCAATTGATGATGAATAACCGGGGTTTCGGGGCAGTAATTAGACTTCTGACCAGGAAGCAAAAAAGTGGGTTGCTAAAGTGCAGTCGTCCCACAAACAAACCCAACAGTAAACCTGCAATTTTGGTAATATATTGTCTGCAGTTTCCACAACAATCTGGTGGTAATTTATGCAACCTTCCAAAATTATGCAATTGCTGAAAATGTTAGCAGTTCAAACCTTGCAAGACTTTAAACTCCTCATGTACTATTCTATCTTCATCCTGTTTGGTTTCAGTGCAGGGCCGGACACTTGGTCAAATATTGGGGGGGGGGGGCAAGCCTATTGTTTTAATACGATGATGTCACATTTCCCCATTGTTTTAGAACATAATGACCTAGGATTACGACCATTATCCTCCTTGTTCAGTACATTTATGTTTTGGTATTTATGCTTCACCTTTAAACTCTTATTTAAACTTTTTATCTTTCCTTTTCTAGTTCATGTTCCCAGGGATACTTGGTATTATTGCTGGTGCTACGAAAAATGCATGCTGTGTATGTAACTATAAATAAACTTTTACCTAAAACTTTATTATGTGATATGCATATGGTTGAATCCTGCATACGCGAAACTACTTACATTAACAACAGATAAATTTCAGCAGATAAACTTTGTCAAAGAAAATTTCAGACAACTTTTCAGAATTTTGCCATGACAAACGTTTTTCAGGGATTCTTTACCCAGCCAAGATAAAAACATATTACTAATATTCCAAGTGGCAAAACATGCAGTTAACTTAATATTAAGTTCCATAGATACCAACTCTGTGAAGACATTGGGGCTTGTGCACCTCCTGGAAATTTGGCTTAGCCCCCTAGGCAGCATTTCAGGATAATCAAACAAAAGTCATATATTTCTCATTTTATGTGAAGGCAAATCAAAAGAGATGATTTTAGCTCTCAAAGAGTTTTTACTCGCTCTATCAATGTCAGGGCCTCCGATGAAGAGGGGGGGTTGGCTGGGGGGGCCTTGGCCCCCTCCACTTTTTTGCAAAACAATAGAGTTTTTTTAAAAATCTTTTGTTATGGGTTTTAAATTTTTCCTTGGCCCCCCCACTTTTCAACCTTTGTCGGAACCCATGAATGTAGTATGAGAATTTGTAAACAGAGTATAAGAATTTAATGTGTAAGAATAAGCCATTGTTTCTGAAAGACTGAACACCCCAAGAACACCCCAAGAACACCCCACGAACACCCATACCGTGATATAAGCTATATTAGCATACTGTGACCACAGAATAGTTCATTTCTATTCTATGCTGTGCCCATTTAGGCAGATTAGCGGATGGGAAGAATAATTGTTTGGAGGAGAATAGGTAGTCAAGTGACCTGGCAAATTATTAATAATGGAATATCTCTGTTTAAACAATTCTAAACAACATTCATTGCACTGGATGTGAAAGATTTTCAAAACAACAGAAAATTGCTTGAATGCACAAAGGGAGTCAAACTCCAATTTGCTCCACATGTAACAACACCAACAGCATTAAACTTATCAGGCCCTTTTCTGCCCATAAATTAATTTTGATTGATTGACATAATTATTTTTCGAATGATATGCCGATTTTGATATGTTTCAGAGTGTGTTCAGCTGCTTAATAGGTTGTTCTTAGGGTGTTCTTGGGGTGAGCATTACAAAGTAAAAGGCCATTTTCAATAGCAAATTTTTCAGTCTGTGGAGTTCAAAATTTGTGATAAAAAATGCAAACACCTTGAAGGAGTGAAAGAAATAATACAAGTGGCATGCCTAGTGGCTGGCATCGTCATTGCAAGAATGAACAGTCATGATCATGATGATTATGATGATGAGAATGATTATGAAGACAAAATTAGGATAATATCATAAATTGCATTAGCTTGATAACAAAGTGGGGCACCCACTTTCATGAGCTCTTCCTCCGAACCATTTTCTTCAAAGATATTTTTCCTAACCTATCTAATATCCAAATATATCTATATATTTTATTTCATTTCAGATGGTCACATATATGATAATAAACATTATCATCTTCATTCTATTCGGGACCGGAGCCATTGCCATCTTCGTTATCATTGCAGCATATGCAACTGTGATTTCTGAGGCAACCACATACTGTTTGGGCTACGGCAATTCGTGCAACTGCAACTATGATGGGACCAGCTATTCCTTTGGGGGTAAGGAAGCAAACCATCTACATTTTTATTTCACCAGAGCAGTGACGGTTTTTAGGGGAGCCATGGCCCCAGGCCCAACGCTTATGATAGCCAAAAGGAGCCCCACACCTAAGAAAAAAAGGACAAGGCCCACAGATGTTTTTGGCTGTGGGCCCCGCAGTCCCTAAAACCGCCACTGCACCAGTGTTATGTTGTATGGTAGCAAAACCTGGTCAGTGAGGGCCGATGACTTCTGTTGCTCGGATTCAGTTCAATTCAATTTTTATTTATATACTACAAAGGAATAGTGCTAAATTAATACTTAAATATACATGACCCAAAAAAGTATGTACTTATCTAGCTTAGGACGTCATTAGAAAAAAGTATACTGTATTTCCTCTAATGAATGCTGCCCTTTGATAAACGCTGCCCTCTATTGAAAGCCACATCTTCAGCAAACCATTTGGATAAAACACCAAAAGTATGTACTTATCTAGCTTAGGACATTATTAGAAAAAAGTATACTGTATTTCCTCTAATGAATGCTGCCCTTTGATAAACGCTGCCCTCTATTGAAAGCCGCACCTTCAGCAAACCATTTGGATAAAACACCAAAAGAATGGACTTATCCAGCTTGGGCGGTTATTGAATTGACTTGAACTGAATTGAATTCAGGCAACACAAGGTGATCAATGATATGAGAATGATACAATGCATGAGTAATGTAAGCCGTACGTAAGAAGTAGGTAAAATCTAAGGAGTATATGGGCTTGTGTGCAGAATAGAAGACATTTAGAGAAAAGCAATCATTATCAGTCATCTTCATAATAATCATCATGATCATTGATATCAGTTATCATAATAATAATCATCAATCATCCTTAATCATAACCAATCATCGTCAATCGTAATCAATTAATCACTCATAATCATCATCATCATACCCATTGTTATCATCAATCATAATCATCATCATAACCAATGACCAATCATCAAAAGCAAATTCTTTTTCATCACCCATTTCTCTTCCAGTGTCATGTGACATGCTGAGTTCAATCACCGCTGCAATGTGGGGAGTTGCAATTTCCTGTCTCTTTGCTGGTCTCCTGTCATTGGCATCATGCATTCTTGGTTGCATTTCTTCATGCTGCACAAGCGTAAGTATTATTCACTTCATTCATGAAAAAAATTAAGCTTATATTAAAGGTTAAGTGTCATGATAAAAGGACTGCGTATACCCAACTTGTCAAGCCACTCATTAAAATAACAGCTCGCGATTGGTCAGTATACTTGCGATGCATAACTGCTCACATGAAAACCAAACTTCACAGCAGGGTAAATAAACAGAATGACCGTAATGGCTTTGGCGATGATATGAAAATTCACATGTTCCTGAAATCTCGCACAGAGCCACTTGCTTTAGCTGGACACATTCCTTTTAAAAGCATTGAGTCATGATAAAAGAAGAGGGTATACCCTAAGTGCCAAAATCCTCAGAGTCATGATTTTCGTGCTGCAATGCTATTGGCTGACCTTGAACTGGTCACATGAACTCACCTAGTGCTGATTAACAAAACAGTTGCCATCAATAGCAAGTTGTCAACAACAAGTGCTGATAGCACATGAAACTGCAGCAATCACACTGAAGCCAAATGACCCCCTATAGAGAAGGCCTTTAGATTACCAAAGTGATGACGTCATAAAATTCTAGTTTTAGAATTTTTGAATTTTGATCCCAGTAGCTGAAAAGGGTATCATGAAATACCTCTAAATATGCAAAATCAGTTAAAGACATTGAGTCATGATAAATAGACTGGGTATACCCAAATTGCCAAAATCCACTGAGTCATGATTTCCATGACTGCGATGCTATTGGTTGACCTTGAACTGGTCACATGAACCAGGCCAGAAAACAGTAAACTATTAGCAAACTTGAAATCTTTCATTGGCCATATCCTGCCCAATTTTAAACACATCTAACTGGAGATACCTTTATATATGGATATAAGTGCATGCACCTCCGAACGAGTTGCGCCTATAAGTGGGGTAATATGGAATGTCAAAATATGTTTGTTTTTATAAGCATTTCTAGATCTTTCTTTTGACAATAGTAATTGATTTTTCTGTGCATTGCAGCCACCACCAACTGGTATTGTATACCAGGAGCAACCCCCTGCTGCAGGCAACATTATAATATCATCTCAGCAACAACAAAGCATGAATGTAGGGGGGTTCGGTGCTCCTCCAGCCTATGCCAATCAGGGATACATTCCACCAAAACCTGGTGTTGTTTAACATGATGTCAATCCAGTTTTCTGGAGTGGAACAGATAAAGACAAACTTGTGTTCCCTAACAAGATTTTGTTTCTACTTTTTGAAGTTTTTTGATTTAGTATACATTTGTTAGACGCAAGTTATTGTTGGAAACGCTGCAGCTTACAAACATTGTCATTATTAGCACCATCCAATTATCACCACCATCATCAATCTATATGGTTACAATTAATAAGCATCATCATCATCATCATCATTAATAAGCATAATGAACATCAACTAACATCAGCCAGTATATCATTGCAACCAATCACAAATCATCATCAATCATAACAATCATAATTATCATAATCAATCATTGAAAATCATCATCAGTCAGTGAATCATTCATTATCTTAAATCATAAATAATAATTGATCATCCTAAACCATATCATAATTTATCACCAATGAAAGTTGTAACCATTCATAACCAGTCAACAACATCATCAATGATCATAAATTATCATAAATCATCATCATAATTTATCACAAATCATAATCATAAATCATCATCATAAATTTTCATAAACCATCATCATAAATTTTCATAAATCAACATCATAAATTTTCATAAATCATCATCATAAATTTTCATAAATCATCATCATAAATTTTCATAAATCATCATCATAAATTATCATCAATACTCATCAAAAATTAGCATAAATCATCATCATAAATTATCATAAATCATGTGCAATCGTCAGAAATCATAACCAGTCAACATTGCCAGACAATAGTAACTATTCCACAATTAAAGTTAAAACTCTCCCTTTAATTGAATTGAAAACTGTTTTAAAGCAACGAAAGTCACAAGCACCCCAAAGAAAGGTGGCCTTTGAGGGGTTTAGACTCCCCACTGATTGCTGAAAATACAAACACTAAAGAAATGAACCACCAATCGATTTTCTTTTTATTCAGTCTTAGCCCCCCTCCCCACCTCTTTTAGACCCCTCTCTTTTCTCAATGGTGCCTGACTTAGACATACAGTTACACAGCCGATGCCTTTTTTACCAACTCCATCATCACATCGACATTGTAACCATGTTTGCTGCCTCTATTCAACAATGCTCAATTTTTATTTCTTTATTATAGAATTTTTATCACTTATAGTCAATGAGAAATCCAACATCGTATTTTTTCTTTCTGCTGCATAATGATCGCTAATTAAGATTATTATATGTCGTGTTACTTTAATGATGCTTCGTAGGGTTGTAAAGATTTTGAAGCATCATAAGCCAAGAGTCAGCCACTCTTTTTTATAAGAACAATTTTATAAGAACGCGAGTCTCAAAACTGGTCAAAAGTTAAGAACAAATTAAGAACATGCTGAGGCTGAGCTTCTGCAAAATGCAATTTTGAACAACGTTTTTCTCAAAATCGAGGATTTTTAGCGATGTGTGGGTGCTTTTTAGGTGAATATTCAAATTTGTCAGCAAATTAAGGCTGTCTCACTCACTTTGTTGGCAAATGAGGCCTGAACACTTCCTTAGAGCGGAAAAGCTAGCAATAGCACTGCTTAACCCTCTTAATTTAAGAACAAATTAAGAACAATCCAGCCTTAGATTTTCGACAACAGTCAGCCTGAACTTAAATTTACTGGTTCTTATAAAAAAAAGTAATGGGCGATTTTCTTTTGCACAAAATTTTTAACCTCAGATTCGGATTAAGAGCAATGATTTTAGTCTACTTGCAAATTTTCATTATGGTATTGCTCACGATAGTGATTTTATGACGACATAAAGATAAAAATTTTATAAGAGATTTGAACGTGATTGGCTACTAGGGGGTATAGTTTCACCCGGAATGCGGTCAAATCCCTTGCAAGTTTTCAAACTTCATTTCTCCATAAAATCTAAATTGCAAGTACAAACACAATAAAAAATTGTATCCAGCCTAAATCTATTGTGATAAAACCAAATCTGAGCTTAAAAAAGTCGTATAATAAAATTTGGAGAAATTTCCAAAGCGAGGCCGTAAGTAGAATTGGTTTATGCGATCAGATGCTATTCAATGATCGAAAGCAATGAATGATCCGTTACTCGAGTAGTCAGTAACCCATTGTTACCTCTATCAGTTAGGTTATTCGCACTCATAGTCTCCAACCGAATAATTGTACTATTCGAACTATTCGCTTGTAACCGAATATTCGCTTTGTGCTTCAGCTAACCGAATAGTTGTAACGTTTTATGTTAGTCGGGTTCTTCTTAGGATGGTGAAGATACGATGGGGCTAGGCCAATGGGCCTAAGCCCCGAATAAGTAGAACACGAGAGAGACTCTATTCTGATGTTGTCTTTATTCGTTCAACAGCAAGACTAACTCTAAAGTGAAGTGAACATTGACGGAAGGTTATTAAGAGAACAATACGAACGTCACAATACATGTTGACAGACAAACACATTGCCATTAGAAAGACGTTAACTGAAACAACAGGACTCAACAGCACATGTGACTATAACATGCAACTGAGATATTACGAAACATATCACACACTAAAGCCAACCGTTACATAGTGAAACAGGTAACCGAATACCGAGACCTTCGGTGGAAAGGCCTAGTCCTATATATAAAAGAGTGTAATTTTCGTTATACATTGTGGCTTTTTATGCAAGCTCGGTTACCTAACGACGGCCTTTTTAGAAAGCATTCTCAAAGACACTGATGAAGTGTCAAAAAGAAATGAAGAAATTAAAAATGTTGGTCGATTCGACAGTCTGCGATGATCAGCAAATCTTTGTTTTTGCCAGCTTTGATAAGATCATATCGTATATTCCGGGGGTGCGAACCTCTTCTTGAGGAAGAAAAAAGTATGGCAAAATATGCATCGAAAAAGAAAAAGCTTTGAAAAGTAAAAATCACAAAAAATCGAATGCATAAACACTTTAATTTGTCAATAAAGGATCAAGTACCGTAGAAGCAAGATGGGTATTAAAAAAGAACGAAAGGCGTCTTAAAAGTCTAACAGGAAACTTCTTCTGACCTACTTTCCGGTGCACCAGAAAAAAGCCTACCTAAGCAGTTTCAGCGCGGAAGTGATTGAGCGGCCTCAAATTAAGTGCGTCATCAGCAGAGTCCTGAGGAAAAGAGAATGGTGATAAATGATTAGCAGGCCTAGGCAAGCCAGTTAATGAAGGGAGAATTGGCAAAAGATAAAAGTTTTCAACAATATCCTGTTCCCCCTTTTCTTAAAATGAACCTACTTGCAGGCACCGCGGAGGCGGGGGGGGGATGGGAGCTGGAGTCCCCCAATAATTGTCAAACTATAGTATTTTTTCTTCAATAACAGTATACTGAAAATACTATGAATTTCAAAACGACGGCACTGTCTTGACTGAGATATAAGCAATAACCTAAATCCAACATTAAGAGATGTGCGAGTGACAACACTGGTTGCCAAGTGACATAACAACAAATACGACACTGAGACACAGGGATTACATTGTAACCTCTATTGTGTGACTGAGACAAAGGCAATTTATCAAAGAGCCTCAAATACAGGATATTTCCTAACGAAACATAAAATTTGTAGATACGTAACGTTCAAAGGTTCTTCTTACGATAATTCGAACAAATAGTGCTGGTTTTTAGGGGGGGCCATGGCCCCACGCTTATGATAGCCAAAAGGGGCGCCACACCTAAGAAAAAAGATGGAAATTGTAAAGAACAAGGGCCCACAGATGTTTTTGGCCCCGGGCCACGCAGTCCCTAAAACCGCCACTGCTTAGACACCGAAAAGATGACACAAGAAGATAATCTTTGGTTTTTGCTTCTTCTATTATTTCAATAGAGAGAGCCGGAGCCATATGGGTGCTACCCTGGGTACCAGACTCTCTATTTTATTTTATAGATAGTGAGTCTGGTACCCAGGGTATATGGGTGCTATCCAGCACAATGGAAGTAAGCAACCGCTCTAGGTTTTAAACATATCTCTTGGTGATCCTCGTGTCTCTGGGTGTTACCAACCTGTTCAAGGTGCTACCCATCTCACTGGGTTCTTTCTTATTCTCTCTGGGTCCTACCCACATTTCTTGGTGCTACCCTTATCTCTGGGTGCTACCTGTAAAACCACTGAGTTTACGAGGGTTTTACAGGCTTGTGTTCGCAGATTCGGCAGTAAAAGAAAGTACAAAATTCAATAAGCGTGTTCTGATTTCTTGGCTCGACGGTTCCTATAGTTTCATCTAATTCAACAACGACTAAACGGGTCACTTCGGCAAAACTGGTATGCTTCAAACTTCTTGAAATAACAACGGCTATCCGAACATCTGAAATCACGTCTAAACCTTAGCGACTAAATTAAACGACTGAATTACTCACAAAAGCCAACGAATATTTTACTCAACAGCAATTAAGATAATTAGGACAGTTATACAAAACAGAACAAAGGAGCTGATCACAAGACAGGATGTACATGGAAATAGGCCAAGATGCGAACAAAAGTCAAGCACGCAAATGAAATTCAAACAGCAAACAAGCAAAAGTTTCTTTAACAAAATTCTGTCCTTTTACATAACTCTCCCCTTCAAGGACAAGCGTCCTCGCTTGCTTCAAGTGACTCCATTCCAAAATTGTTTGGTACCGCTTGGCGTGCTATGTTTCCTGACAATCTTGTTTGCTTCCCCTGCTCTTTGGTAATAGCTGCCTCCCCTATTTGCATCTCCTTTATAAATCGACTGTTCTGGTATGACACAATCTTCCTGTTCATTGGGTGCGATTTCGTTATTTTCAAATTCAAACCTTTTTTGTCCCCTATCTTGTCTCGCAACATTTTCCCTTTTTCTGTGCATTATCTCTTCTACTTGACGTAAAATACATTTCAAGTTTTCAATTAGTTTGCAGATGTGCTGGAATTCTTCCTCAAATTGTGCGTCGTTATATCGGCTAAATTTTGTAGAAAACCAACGAGGAAATCCATTCGTGCGATAAGCTTTTGGTGGATGAATAAACGGGCGACTGCGACAGTACTTGACAACATGTCCAACCATTTTACAGTAGTTGCAGACTGGACGACCGTCTGTTGCACGCAAATATAGCAAGTCATTTCTACGATTAAAATTCGACATATTTCTTCTAAAATACCAGCTTTCTTTTTTACCAATTTCTCCGGTCACGTCGTGGTCACCAATGTAAAACCACTGAGTTTACGAGGGTTTTACAGGCTTGTGTTCGCAGATTCGGCAGTAAAAGAAAGTACAAAATTCAATAAGCGTGTTCTGATTTCTTGGCTCGACGGTTCCTATAGTTTCATCTAATTCAACAACGACTAAACGGGTCACTTCGGCAAAACTGGTATGCTTCAAACTTCTTGAAATAACAACGGCTATCCGAACATCTGAAATCACGTCTAAACCTTAGCGACTAAATTAAACGACTGAATTACTCACAAAAGCCAACAAATATTTTACTCAACAGCAATTAAGATAATTAGGACAGTTATACAAAACAGAACAAAGGAGCTGATCACAAGACAGGCTGTTACATGGAAATTGGCCAAGGTGCTAACAAAAGTCAAGCACGAAAATGAAATTCAAACAGCAAACAAGCAAAAGTTTCCTTAACGAAATTCTGTCCTTTTACA